AGTAGCTTCTATACAAGTCAGGGTCGTCGCCATTATGGAAAGATGGGGTAAATCATTCGCTAATAAGCTGTGTTGCTAAGGTAAACCTTTGTCGCAAACAGTCCGATTTTGTTGCGCGATCTACGAAAAGATCATACGCAACCGGAACGACTAATACAGAACGTTTGTATCGGCGCGCTTGCTTCCGGAACTGACATTGAAGTTCTTCCACCACATCGTATATGCTTGTGTTGTTAGGTGAAATGTGGCCGCAGCGCTGACTTACGCTGAACGTTAAGGGGGCAAGGTTATAGCGCTTTATCGTTGACGTGGTTTTTTTGCATTCATATATGAACTTATAATTGTGAAGAGCTGCCGCTGTACAATCATTATTATCGTCATTTGCTATTGTAATTCTTGACGCGATAATGATAGACGCTTCCGTTGTCATCAAAGTATTGTTTGGAGTCCCTTTAAAAATCATAAGTCATTAATTCACCTAATATTCTTCACCATCTTCGGTTTTGAAAAATAAAGTATATGGCTGAGCCGCTCTGGATACGAAATGCCGCCATCCTTATCGTTTTTATTGTTTACTTCTCATGCAACTGTCGACCTGCCCCAGCGGCTGCGCTTTTATCGAGCAAGTCATGAAAGTGGACAGTTAATGATGGGTATAACCTTATAGCTTATCTATATACCCACCTCACCGTAGTGTCGGCGGTACGAAATCGATCTTCGTTGCATTCGCTCTGCGCCCGGTTTTATCCCTTTGCCCCACTCCAGCTAGCTGTGAGGGCATAAAAGCTCTATTCACAATCCTTTTTCCTCATTGACCGGAGCTCCATTGCCTGGTATATAGTTCGCAAGCTAAAAATGCGAACGACGCTTCTTCAGAACGCTTCTATGGCCCCTAGCATGCCCATAGTAACAGCCGTAAAATAGAAACGCTTTTTTTTCATCTGCAGTCCCTTTGAATGAAGCAGAAACTCCGTATTGTACGTAGGTGCTCAAAAAACCAACGAATACAGCACACTGTAGCGGGTCGCACCTCTACGATAGGCACGCGCACGTCGTTGTTTACGGTACGTTCTTTTTGGGAATAAGTCACCTATTACATCTAGGCGCGACCTGCTCTTTATTTACGATTAAACAGAAACAATACAATCAAAGTGAAACTAAAAGAAAATGTCGTACCACCTTCGAGTTCCCTCACCATAGATCTTACAACTCTCCGTTGACCTTGCTATTATTACCAGCTTCGATGTCCTTAAGTTGTTATTAACTTTTCAAGATACTGCCTGAACTCCATGCAACCTTGGGTGATTGCTTAATTCCACTAAACTGTCAAAATCGTTCTATCTTCATTGAAGTATGTATATACATGACTATGACAGAGATACATCATGTACTCTGAAACTATCCAGAAAGAGTTGTTCCACTCTGTATTTATTATCATTTTATTTCGACTCCTTCTTGTCCTTTTTGAATCGGACCGCATTTGCTTCGAACAAAAGTGATTAAGCTGTTCCGTCTTCATGCCGTAACAACGTGCCTCTAAGCGTCTGCAACGTCAGCTGGAGTCAAGAGGATGCACTAGAATCGGGAATAGCACCATTAGTCGTAATGGCAGTCGTAACTCCAATGAAACGCTGTTTCTGTAACGCGATTTATGTATTTATCAGCTTACTGGCTTAATGGGCTATCACCAGCAAGCATAACCGTACACGCACATACGAACGTATAGAAACCATTCTATTTATGGTAATCGTGCCTGCCTCGTGAGCAAGCTCACCTTAGGCCCATGGAAGCCGTATGGCTGCAGTGAATTCATTGGCTCAATAGCTCTTCCGCTGCTACTCATAGCTGCGTCGCTGGCATAGGTCCTCGGCCATGGCGCTTCCCGTTGCAAAACGGACCGGTCACTAGTGGAACCCCATTGTACTGCAGCTGTACTCTTGCGACAGCCAGCCCGGGGGCAGGTAATACGCGGCAAGGGTGGCATTAGTAACAGTAATGCCGCTACAGGAAAGACTGCTGCCAAGAGACAAAGGCGTGCTAGATAGTACCAAGAAAGGACGGACTTGTTGAATGACGAAAACGAACTCAAGGAATAAATCGAACCGAATCGAGTACAGACAGCAGCGTCGGCGCCAAAAGCTCGCCGACCTTGTTCATCACATGGAGCAGTCGCACAGCCGACAGATCATCTAAAAAAGCAACTGGTATCGTGGAGTGCAACTAGCGCGCTGGCAAAACACAGACGAGAAGGTAACGCTCAACAATGCCGACATCGCCGCGCTGAGCTGGTTACAAAGCAAACGTTTGTGACTGCTTTTCTCCACACTGTGGAAGTTAACCTAAGAGGACTGGCAATACGACTGGTAACGGTGAAGCCGGCAGTAGCCACCACGGAGGCAGTTGCCCGAAGGATCCAGCGTGACAGACAAAAGATGGACTAAGAGGACTCTACCTAGCCAATGTCGTCAATAGGACACTGCGATTGACAGGCAGCCAAGAATCGTTCGCTAGTGATCGTAGTTAGCCTGGTATCACTCGCAGTGGCCAATGGCGTAGTAAGTACTAGACATACGCTTGTAAACAGGACTCGATATCTCGGAAACTCTTAATCTTTCACCAATAGACGTTCTATCGTAAATGAAGCTGCTACTGTTTCGCATGCGCTTCCACGCTAACCGAGTACTCTTAGATAATTAAACAGCAGAAATCAACATAACCATATGCATTGATACACAATATTATGCCAACTCTGCTGAATGACTAGCAGGTTCAAAACGCAACAAAGGTGTCTGTAAAATGTGCATTTCAGGTTGGCCTTTCCTGTACATTTACTCGTCCTCCTGCAGTAGCCTGTTACCGGAATTACAGGATACGGAAGCCTTACAGTTAATTCGAGCGCGTGACCTTCGACTCGCATCGAGTAGGTTGAAATGAAAAAGAAGCCGGCCTTATTGTCAGAGAAGCGGACAAGATAGACGCTAGAAGGCAGGCGGAAACAATATACATTAGAAGATATAAGTATAAATTGCTGTATACGAAAACGATCGGGTCGTGCATAAAAGTGCGGGCACGCATAGACACGATATTTTAATCTAAGCCGTCCTTTTTTTACCGTTCCATTACGTCCTGTAGTGCATCAGGCTACATAGGCCGACTGAACTGTAATTGCCTTGGACGGTTCTCAAACTGATTCCGTAATACGATTCGTTGGGAACTTTATGCTAACAACTGCAAAAAAACATTTATTCAAAATTAGAGTGTCTGTATGTGTTTTGCGGTAATTTCCGTGCTTCGTTAGTGTTGAAGTTTTGTTCGTTCACGTACTATTCCCTTATATATGAGGACGGTTACAAATGGGCCATTCTTTAAAGTTTCAATCTATGTGACGAAGCCTTTGTCGGAGGACGGTATCAATGGCGATCAATAATAACAGTAATCCAGTTGATTACTGCTTCGATTCGAGATCAGTCGGTCGTTGGCTATTTGGATTGAATAGGTACCCCATTGACAGTTTATCCATTTGCTGAGTTATTGATTTCAAGTGTCTGTTGTCCTGATGTCGCCTATAAATTTCATATGGTATATATGCCAACGATACGGAGCTTGTTGTGTAGCTTGGCGAAGTAATTCATTTTTAGGACTTAGGATTTATTTTAGAACTTGATATTAGGACGCTTATATCGCATCCAACTCAGCGTTCGCTCTTGATAGAACTACATGAATTAGGTTACTCTCGCTAAACCAAGGATACCAGCAAGACTTTCCCTGGGACGCTGCGACGGGCCTGCATTAAACAGTCCACCACTACGCCCCTCCTTAGCGCTTATCGAACGCGCAAATTTGTTACGTTTACGACAATTTGTTGCTATGTCCAGCTGCAAATGTTGGTTTTATGAATTCTAACCTAATTATATATTCATTCGATCGCACAATTATAATATTCGGGTTAAATAATTAAGTACGTATTTTCTTCACTAAACAAGTTACTTGGGTCAGAGTTCTGGCTAGTCGTACACGAAAGTGGTCGATCAATTGTCGACAGCTTGACACACACATTAAACATGAGCCAGTTGGTTGTCTGTGGTTCTTAAAAATGCCTAAATGGAAATAAAATGTGTCCCTGTGGGAGTAGTATCTATTATTTGAAGGCATTTTTTATCCGGAAACAGTCCCATTATGACTGTCGATAGCTCGAACAATACTTTTTCGTGATATAATCAAGTTAGACTTCTGTTTCTTTTTTCCCGACAGTCCGGCTGAATTTTGGCCACTTGGTCCACACTCTAGCACGTCGCATTTATATTTCTCTTACGTTCATCAGGTAAGCCTGCTTTGTTTCAGAGTCCGGGTTATTTCTCTATGGAGGTGCACGCCATTGTCTAGCGAATCGCCTACGCTGGCAGCTCGATTCAATATGAACATCAAACGTATCCCCAGATCTACGTGACTCATTCTAGAAGTCCTGCAAAATAGCAGCTGTTACCGCACACGTTTAGTCGGTACCAATAATGGTAATAAATGTAGATGTGATAATAACAGTCGTGTTCATTGACTTGGCGCCGTTCGAACAATAACACTGAGTTAATTTAGTATCGGTAGCGTTTACTATAAAAATATACATGGACGATAATATCCACCTAATCTTTAAACATTACAAAAAACCTGTCGTATTATGGCAGAATACGTAATCGGATCAAATGGTAAACAGTAAATACAAGTGCTGTTGGGTTGTCTCTAGGTGGTCCGGACTTGTCGGCATCGGGCTTGCTGTACAAGATTCCCTTAACGCAATACTTTTTAGTTAGGATAGTGGATTGTACATGAGCTTTCATTTTGTTCCCTTAACAATTAGTGAACTGTCGAACCAACCGGAGCTGGTAGTCGGTCCTAGCACCTAAAGGACGAATTTAAATCTATTGTGGCGCAATCATGTTTTTTTAACTACTGGTTGTATGGCTCTGATCTACTCGACTCTTGCTTTTTGATGGTGTACAGTTTACCTGTCTTGACGTGGAGGGGGTGGTCCCAGGACGTTTTCGCGTGGGTAGGGACTTCGCCAGCTCTGTAAATGGGCAACTAGACAGTGTTATGTTATGGCTGTCTCCTGATTGTCCCACACAGGCTGGTAGGTACGAGCGTCTTCGTCATTAAGCCGTGCTGGCAATATGACACTAACTAGTATGGTCTTTCTTTTTTTTCCCAGCAACCTTTTCCCGCCCTGTGGTCGCTGTTATCGGGCCTGATTTCTCACGCAAACATTACAAGGCTAGATAGCCTCACACGGATGTTATTAGCGGCAATAGCAGCTATTGCAGTAGTGCACGATAGGTTCTTTCGTTATTTATCTCAGTCTTACGTAATCTTGTAGGTGATATGGTCAAGTCAAGCTAAGTTAGACGCCAACTTTTGTCAACTTCACAAACATCGCTCAAAAATTCTACTGTGTACGCACCATTCGCACCGCCTCCGTCGCGACTTCGTTATCTTTACAAACAGTTTCGTGGTATCATGCTCGAATTCATTCCTCTCATTGCACGGTACGGGCACAAAGACGAAAGTAGTCTGTTCAATATACGTTTACTCGTCGTTTATTTATGTTTGCCGTTATTTCGAGACCCTCTCCCTTCTCTTTTTTCAATCACTGTGACCACTTGCGCTATCTGCGCGATTTTCCCTTCGTTTCCGTTTGCTACAGCGACCCTCGTGAGTTCCACTCGTTTGTACATTGAACACGTACCGTGATCGATCGATCGATCACGGCATACTACACGGCATACGCAGTGACGGCTTGATTTGCGTTGTAGTTTCAACAGCTAATTATTGGTACTGGTATTCTTGATAGTATTATACAATGTTGGTACAATTTGACGTTTTTAATTACAGCGGTACCAGTGGCAACAACAACAACAACGACAACAGCAGCAGTAAATCTAGATGATTGTTACGGGTTGTATGGGCCAGCGTATGATAACGTAGCTTTGAAGAGAATAGAAATCAATGCAATGAATGTTCCGGTGCCACAATTGATCAACTATGTTAACACTACGATGAATGCTTCGGAAGATGATGCTGCCTACGGATGAAGTTCTGCTAGCAGGTTATTCACAGATTACGTTTGGCCCTTTCTAAGTAACGTCCTACGCTACTTGAAAACAAACAACCGTGTCAGCAGCGTCTACATTCGTCGGCATTCAAAGCAGCTTGCGCGAACGCGAACGAAGCACGTTATAGTCGTACGGTCCATCATTAGCTGTACACGCGCCCAGATGGGCACAGATGCACACAGCTGCACATATACACACAAGGTGGAGCACGCCGTCACACGACTTTTGCTACAATTGCACGCCCGTACAATACTGTCAGTACAGCAGGTTCGTTGAACGACGCCTTCCGGTAGTTGTAGCAGGCGACGTTGAGCGTGCGCGTCCCTTTTCCGCGGGTGGCCAAACGCTGGGCTGCATTTCGTCAAAAGCGGATGCGTCAGGATTCCACGACCAGGACAGACATCATTACTACCTTTGCCGTCCTATCACTGTCGCAGTCCTCGGCGTTCCCACTCCCTTTGCTTGCCTCTTTCCTTCTCTCCCTCTTCCGCTGTGTCTACCGATTAGCTAACCGTTATCTGTCCTACCTGCTCGCTGTCTGCTGCTATAGCGACTGGCCCATCCGTCCTGGCCGTGTCTCGCTCGCCGACTAGCTGGCCATCAAACACTGTATGCGCTCGGTGCTTTTTTCTCATCGTCACAGTGGCTAGTGTTGTTGGCGACGGCCAGAGCCAAGCATTCCCCGGGGAGCGCGCGGTCTGCTCCTCTCAGCCGCTTCGACGCGGGTGGGCGAGAGTTTCTGTTGCTGGTACGGTCGTCGCAACTAACAGCAGCAGCAGCAGCAGCGGTCACCTACTATAAGCGCCACCGCCACTTACCCATCCGGCTGGGAAAGGGAAACATCGCAAAAGTAAAGCATTGTATGCCGTACCTCAAGCACGACCGCCGACGCCGCCGATGGACAGTGAGGGAGGCGAGCGGGTGAGGGAGACGTACTTCCACACACGAGGAGGAGAAGAAGACGAACAAAACATAGGACACGACAGGGAGGGAGCCTTGCTGCTGTCGTGAACAGGCTCAGCGGCGCCAACAAAAACAGCGGCCGCAAACGCGGCAGCAGCAAAAAGAGAAAGATACTTACACAATTAGGTGACTCATTTAGAGCAAATGAACCTCGGCTCGCTTCAAACAGCCCAGTACTGAGAACCGGGCCCCGCTACGGAATTGACGGCCACGCGCGAGGCGTTTGGTTTCGCTGGGCCGACCACAGTCTTCGGTCCCCTAGCGAAGCTCTTCGCTCTCTCTCTTTCCGTGTAATTTTCCGCGTTTCGTTATAGCGCCTTTGCGCGAATAACATTTGCTCGACCGTAACGTTGCCGCTCACGTGCTTCAGTTGTTGTTACTAATCATCATTGACAGAACGTCCGTGAAAAGTATCGATCTTGTGGATAACACAGGTGCAAGGAGGGCGGTAGTAGCAACAGCTTCGTCGCTTCAGCTATCCCAAACGACAGCAGTGTCTGCGTGCGCGCAATGAAACGGCAGAAGAAGAAACCGATGCTGCGGATAGCGACGGACGGTGCCCGCTGCGTCGTCACCTGGACAACAGTAAGCGGCTGTGCAGGAAATCGGGTAGACGGGCAGGCATACAGAGGGCCAATAGGACACAGTAAGGGAGGGCAGCTTAGCGCGCCGGCACGTAACGGAGAAAGACTGTAATAACTTACATGTATTGACTGAGCGAGTGACTGAGTGAATCTGAAAGCGTGCATGAAGTTCCGGAAGGAACTGGGTGGATCAGTTAATACTGGGGCGTAGAACTGTAACGGAGGCACCAAAGTCGTTGATTATGCACACGACTGAGATGGAATTGTGCCGTCCATGCGGAGACGAGAACTGTGGAATTATTGCAGAACGACAACTGACTGCGGGTATTTGTTTAGCACAAAACAATAGGATATTTAACATGTTGGTAATATGGAGAGCGCCGATGGAGAAACTGTTGAATATGTTTTGGGATAGCTGGTTATATGACGCTGGATCTTGTTCATTGTATTCCAGAATCACGAGGTAGTAAGCGGTTCTTGGAGGCTGCTGTAACACTCTAGATGTTTTAGTCAAACGAAACAACAGATACAAGGAGCGTCTAATTCTAACCGATGCACAGCCCTAGCTGTGAACGCCAACAGAAGTTCACTCACACGAATAAAGTGTGACGCTTTCACGGCTTGGCGACCCCAAAGATTTACTGAAATTGTGGAATAACCTTAAGTCAATTCGCGTACTTACTGAAAACTGCGACCAGGATTACGGTCTAGACTCTCAGTTTTTCCCAGGTAACATCAAAACCTCCCATCGAGCAGCTCTGGAGTCAGCTTTGGCGAAATAGACAGTGCAGCAGATCGAATAGCGGCTGCAAACATTTCTTGAGAACACGGAAGTAAATTTGTGGTCTAAAGGCAATCGAGACGGAAGGGAACAACACCCGGAAGCTGTAATGCGGGATGAACGCGACTGTGTTTGCCGTTCTTTTTTAGCAGCAGAAGCCTAGCAGGAGACAGGCTCTGGTTGATTATTTCTAGAGGTAAAACACTGGAACAGCCTGTTGCCGTCAGGGCGAATGTGATTTTCAGAGAGCCAAGTGCGGCGGACAGGGCGAAACCAAGGGCAAGAACCTGGCAATGTCATTGGAAATTGGAGAACATTTCGAGGTACACCTAGAAAATGAGTGACTTAAAAGAGCTATCGCCAAGTGATCTGGTCCTGACGCAGGCAGGCCAATCGGTATTACAGTACCTAAACGAGGTCGAAGAATAATATGCCAATAACGGAATGAACATATGCCGCATGAAACTTGTTTTCGTTCTGCGTTGGTTCATCTAGATAACGATGACCAAGAATGACATTACGATGACCAAGAATACGGGAGCTAAAGGCTCCCGTATTCTTGGTCATCGTAAAGGTAGCCTCAATCAACTATTGCATAGCAAAAATACCAGAAATACAGAGAAGTAGGTGGAGAAATAGGTACAAAAATGAAAGTCGAATGTATTCTTGGAATTATTAAGCTTGAACGAAAGGTCTGCTCCAGTGATCGGTCTAGGTCGATCCGTGTTGAAATAAGACTACTCCTCACAGTTTTGGTGCAAGTTGCTACCACAAATTAGTGTGCCGAGTGTTTATAAACCCTAGCTTGTCGTATGGGGGCTGGAAAGTCCTAAACATGGACGTGCGGTGGAAGCGATTAGTACGGACTATTATAATTAGTTAGTTATACAGTACATAATAATGTGTCACATAACATGATTTGCAATTTCACGATAAGCTGATCGATAAACACTTGTTTTCGTATATACGTTGCGGTAAATGCAGTAACTTGCGGTCAAAACAACTTCATAAAAAATTGTACTGAATTAAATTTGTGCCAAATCTACAACATCGGCAGCATATTATCCAATGAACATTAAATCGACTTGAGGCTGTGGCGTTACTCAAAAAATCTTTAAGGAAACACATTATTGCTAAGGGTTAGATTCTCACAGATCCTATATCGCCATTCGTATGCGTTGTGAGCGCATCGTGATTTCCATTGAGAGTGCAAATTACGAAAGCTTGCCGTTCACAGTAGCAGCCGTCTCTCTCCCTATCTCTCTCTCTCTCTCTCTCTCTCTCTCTCTCGGAAAAAAACAGACGTCTATTTTTCGCATATGGTCGAACCTCATAATGACCACATCAAGGCTAAGCGTTATGCTTTGGCAAGGCACAGTTAAGCGATGGCAATGAATATTTCGAGTAAAGTATCAACGATAGATGGCAAAAGTTGTTTCTTAGATGAAGCTCTTTTTTGTAGTTTCGTAAAACTAGATCTAGTGTGGTATTTCTAGTCATGTCATATATACATCTAAAATATATATGGAGAGAGAGAACGATATGGTACGTGTTTTAGGGAGTATGTGTGCATAAATCCCTCGAAATACGTCAAGGATTTCGGATCACGGGTCACTCTGCAGTGCTAAGTATCACATGGGCATACATTGATTGAAGTAATTGTTAGGCGTATTGAGTCTCGGCGTCTTACTAGGCTGTTTTCGCTCGTAACGGCATTTTTCTTTTCCTTTGCCGTGTTAGAAGCGCCCACTGGTTAGCCATACATTTTCCATCACCATATAATCGACAAACACTACCAGAAGTTAAAACAACACTTTCAAGGTATAGTTCGTGCTAATTTATTCGTGTAAATAACAATTAAAAACAAAATTGCATCTCGCTTTTCTTAACATGATGTATTCAGCCACAGCCAGTGCTGCTAGAGCTGCCCAAAATGACAATGACAAAGACTACTTGTCTCTATCTGCACAGCGGCCAAATAGTCCGCAGAGCATGAATGTGAAGCACGTTGCAACGCGTGACGACGAACGGCCTGATGATTGATAACGTGCTTATTTCTCTAATCGACCCTCCGATCAACGCGCTTTAAACCCTGTGGAAGCTGCAAGAGGTAACGCTGGGGTAGGCTATTCTGTTGCAAGAAAGCCTGGAAAAAGCTGGATACACTAGCTTAACATGTGCTGGAAACGAGCAACATAGACCGTACGCGGTACACGCGCATATTAATAAGCCAAAGCATTGGTACGATATCGTGTATGGATTTGCATGATCCTGTTACGTTATGTCGTTATATGCAAAAACTGTCAGCTCGTCGAGCGGTTTTTGAAAGAGTCTTATACCCATCTGATCCAATGGAAGCATGCGATTCTATATCATTGACATTTATCGCCATTTTTATAGAATTAGATACAATATGTTTCATCTCGCCTACGCTTTTTCTACGCAAAGGATATTCTTGAAGAAAACCGTATCCTACGTACCATTTTTGTGGTTTGATTTTTTACTTCGATAACGAAAATATGATTCTTCAAATACTTCACTTCATAATTTGGGTGATAGTCCGATAGGGAAGGGGGCCGTCTGCTGAAGTACTATAGAAATATTGACACGATATAAGAGTTAAACGTTGCGATTTCAGAGAAAAACCAATTACACAGGTAACAACTATGACAATCCCATCATTTAAATAGATATATTATATCAATTTTAAAAATTTCCAGGAGTAAATAATGAGTGTTAGATAGTTAATAACCAATTAGTAACCCAAAGCAGTTTATCGATATAGACATATGTTCATTGGTGTTTTTGTATAGCAGACCCAAATTTCAGTCAAAAGTAAAAAGAGCTTACGGGCCACAGCTCTACGTAAGTTATATTACATTTATGTAACCAAAAATCAATAGCAAACAGGTGTCAACTTGTTTCGAAGAAATATATATATATTAAGAGAAATATATATATATTAAGAGGTATTCGTCAAGACTCGACTACGGCTTACTGGTTTGCTCTAGCTATGAGCAGAAAACAGGAATAGCTTTACCAACTCCATCATAGTAACAAAAATAACTAACTGGCTATTATAATATCCTTATTTAGACTGCTGACGACAAAAAAACGTTATTGAACTAAATCCTCACCAAACTCATCCATTTGCCCTCGCTAACCACAGACAGAAAATTGATTAGAAGCGTCTCGTGTAGGCAAGCTATCGTACAGCTCCATAACGCGTTTAACATTCGCGTTCTCTCGTACAAAATGTCCTTCTT